GGTAGGAAGGTTCAGGTTTGTGGCAAACTTTCCTGTTCTTCCTCTTTCTCTCCTGCACATTTTTTGTTGTTGAGGGGAATAGTTCACAGTTGCTGTCTCCAGAAGGTTGATGAATGTCATTTAAAACAGGGTTTCAATGAATGTACAAATGTGCTTGACACAATTGATGTATGTATGGATTGTCATAAGAGTTGTATGAGCCCCCAATGAAACAATGAAAAGAAATAAAACAGGGTTTATTTGAATCGGTACTAAGTCACCTCTCACTCTTGGTAACATAGCCATTTTCAAGGCTGAAATAGAATTTCAGAAAGCTTCCATGGCTGGTCTAACATCACCTAGGGAAGTCAAAGGAGAAAGGAGTATTTGGAATAGAATACCTAAGCCAGAGGAGAGACTAAACTGGAAAAAAACTAAAACAAAAACTGGGATGAGTTGATTCCAACTTACATCAACCCTGTATAAGAGCAGTTCTCAACCTGTGGGTTCCGATCCCTTTGGGGGTCGAACGACCCTTTCACAGGGGTCACCAATTCATAACAGTAGCAAAATGACAGTGATGAAGTAGCAACGAAAATAGTTTTATGGTTGGGGGGTCACCACCACATGAGGCACTGTATGAAAGGGGCACGGCTTCAGGAAGGTTGAGAACCGCTGCTGTGTAAGGTTTCTGAGGCTGTAAATCTTTATAGGTACAGATAACCCCAGTTTTCTCCCGGGGAGCAATTGGTGAGTTTGAACTACTGACCTGGTAGTCAGCAGCCTATTGCTTATCCTACAGCTCCAGTAGAAGCACTAGAAGTAGTATGCTGTGGGCATCTGCTTCTCTTCCCTCTTTTCTGGTGGCCCAGGGGTGGGGAAGGCTTGGGCCACGGACTGTAAGCCCCGAGGCTCAAACCCACCAGCTGCTCTGCAGGAAAAAACCAGGCTGCCTGGTCCCCAAAAGAGTTTCCCTCCCAGAAACCCTAAGGAGCATTTCTACTCTGTCCAATGGGGTCACTGTGCATCGGAGTTAATTCCCTCAAGGGTGGTTTGGGTTTTCCCCAAGCTAACAGGTTACAAAATGTTTAGGATACGCAATGCTTTTGTCCAAGGTGCCTCTTCTCTGCCACGCTGGAAGGCATAGCTCTCTGGTTCTCAGCCTTCCAGTCTCTGCTTGTCTGGTGGGCCAGAGAGCCCACCCACTGCCCTACTTTATGGTCTTGAAACTGCTCCTCTGCTCGGCCTCGTAACCTCAGTGGTATGGTGCCCGGTGCTTCTGCTCAGTGGTGGGATGCACATAATTAGACAACTGGCTTGCTAACCTAATGACCATTTTAAGTGTAAAAAACGATATACGAAATGTAGTTCATTATTTCATAAGTTAATCATTAAATAAGAATAAAAGAGGTACACAAACTAGATTGTTATAAGAAAATTTGAAAATATTAATGAAAAATATTAAATAATACCTGACAAAAGCAATAAAATATTTCCATAGTGCCTCTTGATTGGCATCCTTGCTAGCAGTATTCTTTGCTTTTATCCAAGCATCATCAGCTGTGCGATTTATCCTTAACCATCTTCTCACTGTGCGAGTAGGTAGGAGGATCCCATTGCTCGAGAGCAGCGGTTCTCAACCTGTGGGTTACGACCCCTTTGGGAGTCGAATGACCCTTTCACAGGGGTTACCTACAAGCATCAGAAAACACCTATTTCTGGTGGTCTTAGGAACCAAGACACCGCTCCTCTATCCGATCTCCAGGCCGGTCCGCCCACATGCAGATACGCCTACCTACGAGTACCAGGCTTGAACACTCTTACCCAGGCTACACCATGCTTCAAGACAAAATTTCATTTATTTGTCATTAGAAAGAAATATTTCATAATTTATAATTACATGTTGTTTTTGTGATGAATCACTATGCTTTAATTATGTTCAATTTGTAACAATGAAAATACATCCTGCATAACAGATATTTACATGACGATTCATAACAGCAGCAAAATGACAGTTATGAAGTAGCAACGAAAATAATTTTATGGCTGGGGGGTCATCACCACATGAGGACCTGTATGAAAGGGTCGCAGCCTGAGGAGGGTTGAGAACCACTGAATTAGATGGTAGTCGTTGTGATTGCTATATTAGAAACAATCAGACAATTTCTCTTCTCTAAACATACTACGTTCACTTATGAAAAACTTCCGCTGAACTGAACAGCCCTTGTACTGGCAATACTTTTAGCTCTTTGAACACTTTCAGGAATTGCATAATTCACTCATACTATCTTGTGGGAATTCGGGGTGTGACCGAAGCTGAAACGAAGGACAGCGTGTCACCCTCTGGTTGTTTGGCTTCTTTCCTCTTTATGTTCTGTGTTTGGTTACCTATGGATGGGATGAACATTGTTATGGGTGCTCAGACTACCAGATTGTGCAGATGCATGTTAAAATAAAGGGTAAGGAATGCAAACTTGTGATTTCCACACTGGGCGGCTGCCCAGTCGCCCACTTTAGAGAGAAGCCTGATCCCAAGGGCTCTTTGACAACGCCTCACTGAACTCAACAAAAAATCAGGGATCGGCGCCACTGAACTTGTGCCTCTACTGCCTCTGCCGCTTCTTGCAGGGGCTGCGCGGGTGCTTTTGGATGGTCCTGGGCTTCCTCTCGCTGTGTGCACTTGGAAGATGGCGACTCCTGCACACTCAGCGGAATGACCACTCCCCTCTACAGGCGGTTCATATTCCTGTTTACCTGGCCTCACCTAGTCACTTGGTGGGAATTCCAAAAACAAGGACAGAAGAGCCATTCTATGTCCTTCCACTTCACCGCAGGGGACACAGTGTAATTCATCACACTTTCCATATGGTACACATCTCTGGAGAACATTAAATAGCTTTTCTTTTTTTTCCCACCACACTCACTTTACTCACTGCCATTGAGTCCCTGCTGACTCGTGGTGACCCCTGTGGGTTTCTGAGACTGGAACTGTCCAGTCTTTCTCCCGCAGTGGTTTTGAACTGCCGACAATGCGGATCACAGCCCAGCACGTAACCACTACACCAGCAGGATTCACTAAGATGGGCCACAGAGCATTTAAACCATTCTTCTAGGTCATGGGACAGGGTGGTGTTTTTCTTTCTGTGCTATAGTTTATGTAACCATTATCTGTTTACACAGGAAACCAGACTATTTTCAACAGAAAGGAAGCTGAAAGAAATCCTCATGATTAAGTATTAAGTAATACTTTCTAGTGTGCTCATCTATCTTTGAGGTTATTGTAAGCAAACCCTTCATCGCTTGTTAGGACCCCGTCTCCATGTGTTCTAGATTCTTTTGCGGTTTCCAAAGATACAGAAGACTTCATGTATGTTGTAAAAGGAAGCATAACTATCTCTATCAGAATAGTCCGAAATGAGGTTCTGCTACTGTTTTGATCCATCATGTGGTAAGACCCGCGTCAGAAACCAGTGGGTAAGAGCTCTTCTCTTTAGGCGAGACCCCTGGGCGGCTGGGAAGCAAGGGAAGAAGGAGAATTCCTTTTCACTGCTTCTTCTTTTTAAAAAGAATTTGTTGTGTTGAATTGTTGTTGAGAAGACACACAGCAAAAACTCACACTGATTCACGTTTACAGTCCAATGCTATTGATTTCATTCTTTGGGTTATGCAATTATTCTTACCCTCTGTCTGTGAGTTGCTCGCTGTATATTCTCTTCAAATATCTGAGTTTTATAAATCATGTAAAATAATAAAACTGATGGAATGAAGGGTTATTTTGACATGCCCATGTCCCCAAAAGCATGCTGAGCCACAGGAAGCATGGATAGTTTCATGAAACCTGGACCTTTTTTAACTTCCAGGTTAAATTTGAACTATTTGCAATTTCTCAGCTAGATTATATAAATTGGTTGGATGGCTGCTTTGATGAGAGATTAGTCCGGTTCCATTTCTTCAAGAGAAAATGATATCTTTCCTCTGTAGACTTCTGAAAAAGTAAACCAAGCACCTTTTAGTCCAGCCTAGTAGAAAATTAGTTATACTTTCTCCCCACTTATTGGCTATCTTGTTGTCTGACATTTCACCTTTGTGATAATAGTAAGTCTACTATCCAACTATTTGGAGCATTAAATATATACATCTGGTAGTTAACACTGTAAAAAAAAAAAGGCATAGATTCCATATGGGACCACCAACAAGTATTTAAAATACAGAGTTTCTAAAATGGTTTGTGTACTTGACAATTAAAGTTTGTTTTCCTGGCGAAGCCAAAGAGGAATAATTGCATGTTAGACTTTAGGGCATTATGGCCGTGGTTTGGGCTCCCCAAATTGGACATCATAATGAAAGCCCTTGGAGTGTAGAGGCGTGAACATGACATACCTTATTGTTAGGTATTGATGCCTTTATTCCACTCAGCACTTTGTTCAGGAAAACAGACCAAACTTTTCCTCTCTCCTGTGCCCCACCTGGAATCCCTGGATGGTGCAAATGACCGGTATGCTTGACTGCTCATCAAAAGGATGGGGGTTTGAGCCTCCTCGGGAGAGGCCTCGGAGAAGGGCCTGGTGGTCTCCTTGTGGAATGGAGGCGGGTTAAGAAGGGCTCAGTAATGTCAACTTTTGTGGCCAGCCCACAGGCAAGACTGGAGGGACCTGAGATTAGCAAGAATGTGAACCAGGAAGGGCCTGGAAGAAAATGATTAAATTACACCCAGCCTGGTGGTTAATGTGAGCCTCTGACCTGGAACTGAGCACCCCCTCAGCCGTGGCAGAGTTCCTTGTTTGCAGACGTGCAGTGGACGGGTAGATATGGAGTGTCACAGGAAAGGGGATGGAATGATGAGGGTATCTAAATGTAAAACCATGTAAAAAGTCATCTTTGTGAAGATAATAATTTTTGAAATCCACCTCCAAACCTTAATAACTCCCATTGTAAATTAAACAAAACGATTATAGCAGACAGGGGAACTTAAAGGAAAGGAGCAGAGAGGAACGAGAACAGAAATCATGAGCATGTTGATAAAATATGGAAAATGTAGTCAATGTCCCAGATTGAACAATATGTAGAGAAATTGTAAAGGGAGGGGGGCTGGTTTATTGTATGAACTTTCATCAAAACCTCAGTAAAAAAATTTTTTAAAAAAAGAAGTAAATGGAACATCTTGTATTATGTACACATGCACAAAGGCTATCCTTAGCTCTGTTGCTTCTTACAGCAAACAACAACGGCAAAGCAACAATAGTTGATGCTCATACAGTGCCATACTATACATACCACATACCATATCATACAGTGCCATACCATACATATACATACCATATCATACAGTGCCATACCATACATACCACATACCATAACACACCGTGCCATACCATACATACCACATACCATATCATACAGTGCCATGGAGAGATCTTAAGATGTTTGATAAATGATAAAAAAATTTTTTTTGCAAAACAGTGTGTAGCATGGTCCTCTTTATCTATGTTAGGTGTCTGTTTCTATATTCGTATATGTATGAATGCAAAGAAACTCACTGGAAATGCACATGCCACGCTGTTACCAGTGGTTACCATCGGGAAGGAGGAGCAGTAGAAAGTTTTGTGTCTTAGTCTTTTGTTTGCTTGCCAGATTGAGCAAATACAAATACGGAATACCCAGTTAAATTTGAATTTCAGTTAGATAATAAGATGTTTAGAAATTGTTGAGAGGAGACCTGGTTTTGTGTGAGCTTTCATCGAAACCTCCATGAAAATTTTTTTTTTAAGAAATAGAATATTTTGTATTATGAACACACACACAAAGTGTGTCTTATTAGTTATAAATCTATCTCATGTAAAATATTAATATGTACATAGGATTGTGTGTTGGTGCATAAGCAAATGTGGCAAAGAAAGCTGATGGTGCCCGGCTAAGCCTGGGGTCTTAAAGGCTTGAAGGCAATCAAGCGGCCATCAAGCTCAGAAGCAACAAAGCCCACCTGGAAGAAGCACACCAGCCTATGCAATCACGAGGTGTCGAAGGGATCAGGTATAAGGCATCATCAGAACAAAAAATCTTACCATAGTGAATGATGGGGAGAGTGTGGAGTGGAGATCCAAAGCCCATGAGTAGGCCACTGGAGATCCCCTTACAGAGGGGTCTCGGGGAGGAGACGAGCCAGTCAGGGTGTGATGTAGCAACGATGAAAAATACAAGTTTCCTCTAGTTCCTGAATGTTTCCTCCCCACTCCCACTATCATGACACGAATTCAACCTTGCAAGTCTGGCTAGACCAGAGGATGTACACTGGTACAGATAGGAACTGAAAATACAGGGAATCCAGGGCGGATGAGCCCTACAGGACCAGTGGTGTGAGTGGCGATACTGGGAGGGTAGAGGGAGAGTGGGTAGGAAAGAGGGAACCGATTACAAGGAACTATATGTGACCTCCTCCCTGGGGGACGGACAACAGAAAAGTGGGTGAAGGGAGACATCGGACAGGACAAGATATGACAAAATAACAATTTATAAATTATCAAGGGCTCATGAGGGAGGGGGGAGCGGGGAGGGAGGGGAAAATGAGGACCTAATGCCTGGAGCTTAAGTGGAGAGGAAATGTTTTGAGAATAATGAGGGCAATGAATGTACAAATGTGTTTTATACAATTGATGTATGTATAGATTGTGATACGAGTTGTATGAGCCCCTAATAAAATGATTTAAACAAAATAATTAAAAAAGAAATAGAATATTTTGTATTATGTACACACACAAAGTGTGTCTTATTAATTATAAATCTATCTCACATAAAATATCAATATGCACACAGGATTGTGTGCTGTCGACTCCATTCCAACACAGGGTGTTGCCGGGTTGAACTGCCCGGGGGTACCACGGCTGTGAACTGTGTGGGAGCAGAGCACCCGGCTTTCCTCCTGCGGGGCCACTGCTGGCTTCAGCCACCCTCCTGTAGGGCCACAGCCGAGCTCATGACCATCGTTCACCATGACTCTAAACATTAACAGATTTATGCTAAAAGTCATACTTGGGACATACTTTTGCTGAGATATTATTTCTTTGACATTTGAATTTAACCTGGCATTCTGTATTTCATTTGGCTAGCCTACGCTATAGAAGGCAGATTTTTTTTTCAGTCTCCTTAAAGGATATTTTTGTGTATGAATCGTATGCCTTCTTTGAAAAGTTGAAAAGAGGAGAAAAAAAGGATAAAATAGTCGCCTCTCACAACGACACTAAAGCACAAGTCTGGCTGAAGAAAATGGATTGGCCGGGGACAAAACCGCTTTCAAAGCAGCGTGAAGGTAGCACATAGACCAGCTCCCAGTGTTCTACACAGAAAGCATGAAAGCACGTGCAAGCATGTAATCAAAGACTAGGCGGATACGTAAAAGAATATTAACAGAGGTTCTCTCTGGTGATTAGATTATAGATGACTTAAGTTTCTTCATTGTGCTTTATATAAAGTGCTTAACATTCTTACCAGGAACATGAACCGCTTGGGAAGGGGTAAAGAACCTAGGTAATGAACACCGCTTTCTTTGCTTCCATGAGTCCTTTGACCCAAGCTTCTCCCGACGCGGCAGCCCTCAGAAGGACGTGATGAGCAGCGGTGTGAGCCCCACGTGTGGTGGAAAGTCTTAATAAAATGCTGTTGTCCTACATCCTTTCAGGGTATTTCCAAAAACAGCCCTACTTTGGAGCCGTCGTTGGAAGGGTGGCCAACCGAATTGCCAAAGGCACCTTCACATTGGCTGGGAAAGAGTACAAGCTAGCCATCAACAATGGGCCCAACAGTCTGCACGGTGGGGTCAGAGGGTTTGATAAGGTGAGTGATATAGTTAAAGTTTATTGTGCCAACCTGGCTGATAAGCACATGTGGGGTTAATTGAAGGGCGGAGCGATAAATGGCTCAGTGAGCTTTGCCTTTGTAGTTCTCTGGTCTCTTGCTTTGTGATGGTCGCACCAGGGTGCAGCTGCCTTAGCCAGTTCCCTGCTTCAGCTGGCAAGGCTCACTTCCTGCAAGACATCCCCGAGGAGAAGTCGCATGAACCTAGCCTGATGCAGCCCTGGATGCTGGAGCAGCCGCATGGAGACCCCTGCCAGCACTGAGATGTTTACACGTTCACTGATTCGGGTTTCCTCCTGCAGTTGGCATCATTGTGTCTGTTTTGTGAGATGGAGGAGGACTTTGTGGATTAGTGTCGGACATATGGGTTAATGTGTTAATGTTGGACTTGTGAGCTTGGGCAGCACTGGGTTGGGATGTTTTCTTGATGTGCACTTACCCTTTATATAAAACTCTCTCTTATACATGAGTTTCTGTGGCTATGTTTCTCTAAAGTTCCCAGACTGACACAGTGAGTCAGAACAGTTGGCAGAATTCCCACCTGACACTTGACAAAATACGCAGGTAGGTACACCGTCTGCTTGCCAGGCACAATCCCAGCCTTAGAGCCAATGCAGCCTGGTAAGGTCTACCTAGTGTTTGCAGGAGCAGTGTCCCGGGGCCCATCCTTCTCCAGCTTTTTGAGCAATAACAGGCAAGGGAGGCCCCGAGGAAAAGGACAGAGGTCCTGGAATTAGGAAAGGTCTGGGAAGGTCAGGGAATGCCTTCCCAAGTCTTTGAAACAGGTTATCTTACCTTCCAGTTCTTACCTTTCTCATCCCTGCACTGGGACCAATATAACACTGCCTATCTCACAGAAATGAATTCTGGTGACACTATGGATAAAGCAGGGGGGCTGCTAACCAAGAGGTTGGTCGTTCAAGCCCGCCAGCCACTCCTTGGGAGGAAGAGAAGACAGTATACCTCCCTAAAGAGTGACAGCCTCAGAGATGCTTTGGAGCTGCTCTCCACTGAACTATTAGGTGACTGTGAGCCAGAATCAACTGGATGGCAGTGGAAGGATCTCATAGAAACATCCCAAAGATGCAAGGAATTAAATGGCATCAGGGTGACTTGAGGCACAACGGAAAAGTAGTTAAATAATAGTCTCCTCCGCTGACTTAACAAGGAATTCACAGTCAGTGTCTCGAATATTTACAAGGACCCTGTATTGTCACTCTGAAAAATCAGAGTTCCCAAAAGACTACACAACTCCCGAGTAGAATAGCCAGGTCTGCCAGGCCCGAAGCCCTCATTCCTACACTACACAGGCTGGTGTTCCCCAAGGCTGCTGTGTACGTTCCCAAGCAAACCCACCCATTTTTACCTGCTTAAAGGCCTCCCGAGAGCTGTCTCACCTGCGCCAGCCTGCCCTGCCCTTCCATGCTTCAGGTGTTCAAGTGCCCTTTCCACATTAGAACCCCGTTCTCCACGTGAATCCTGAAAACTAGGTCAGCAAAGCAAGCGGACTAGACAGCATGTCTCTGAGGTCGGACTCCCTGCAGTCCTGCTTCTTCATTCTGTGGGACTCTGCAGGTTACATCCCCCGTGACTGTCTCATTTCAAGCTGCGAGGGAGCTCATTTGAGACTTAAATCACCTTTCAATGGCACCACCTAGGATAGGTCCTGGAGAAGAGGCAGAGAAGACAGGAACAAGTATGGTGCTTAGGGACCCCAGTTCCTTCTCTTGGGCCGGTGGGAGGGAGTTGGTCACTCTATTTCCCGTCTCCCAGCAGCTTCCTGCTTTCAGCCTGGACTCAGACTCTCCTAGCCGTTCTCTTCTGCTCAGTGCCCGGGCTTTCCATGCTGGGGAGAGCACAAAGGCAGACAGAGTGGGCACACTCTGCCCGTGTTGGGGCACTGGGTCTCTAGAATGTGTCAGGTGACGCCAACCCCAAGCAGAGAAAGTAAGACCTAGCTCTGTGGGGAACAAGGATGTCTCCCCCCCCAAAATATGTCTTGAGAATGACTGTACACTAGGCGGTCAGCGAAAGTAGGTCAGAGGTTATTCTCCTTAACAT